TCGTGTTACTACTTACTTAATGACTTTGGTCTGGAAAATCCTTCAAAAATTAACTCTAAGAGAACTTTTATCAGTAAATCAATCAGAGAGCGCAAAATGGCACACGTGCTTACTCAACGAACGCAACTGACTTTCTCCCCAAAAATTATAGCACGCACAGACATGCGGTAAACTGCGTTAAGCCCCGTCCACACGCTCAAACTTATCGTCAGTCTTGCATGTCATGCCAGGTTTGACCGACAAGACGGAGCGTGTGGACGCTCAAAGTTTGACGTCTTGCATGACGGGTGGGCGGAGCTTGAGGTTTGACAAACCTGGAAAAGACGGACGGGCGAGACCTTTGGGTTCATGCAAGACTGACGATAAGTTTGAGCGTGTGGACGGGCAACCGACTAGTTGGTCAAACTTCTACTCTATCTCAGTCGGAACGCAGTATAGACCCCTGCATCTCAGTCTATATTGATGAAGAGAGCTGTGACATTGTTCCTCGCTAGCTCTAGCTTTTCATATTCCAGGATATCCGACACTTATTTCACGATTTCTTTTGGTGAGTTTATCGAGTTATATCGTATTTTCCCATGCATGTTTATGGTAAATTTGATCAAAAAGCTACAGTGACAAGAACAAGAGAGAACTGGCCTGTGCGCGTGCGGAATTAATCGCTAAGTGCAAAGAAGTTGATCATACCGCAAACAAAGACTTTGTAACGAAGAAAATAAACTCTTAACTGAAAGAATGTGCCAAAATGAAGTCGTCAATGCAGTCTGGTGCTGGTAGGATGCTGTCTATCAACCCTCATTGTGGTATTTTTTAAAACAATTTTCGGGACCACCGCGTACGTTTGCATCGCTTAAACCTAATTATGGTGGCACAAACTGCGCTCACTGCAGCGAGCAGCACTAGCTCCTCCATTGCCGCAAACGCACTAAAAACTGAAGGAAAGTTTGAGCGTGTGGACGCTCTTCAGTCTTCCGTCAAAATCGCTCAAACCTGGCATGACATGCAAGACTGACGATAAGTTTGAACGTGTGGACGGGGCTTTAGACGCGCCTTTTCAGCAGCTACAAAATGAGTCAAGAAAACGGTAAAGCCAAAATTTCCGATTTTTAGGGTAGCTGGTCCCCTTAATAGTATTAAATATTATTTAAAAACCTGCAAGATACATACATAATATAAATTACAGAATAAAACTGTACGAAAGATTTCGGTGTAATGTTACTTGTCAGACTGACAGGGCGATAGTTGCCGGGGCTGCTTTTGTCACCTTTTTTGAACAATGGTGTTACTTGAGCTTCTTTCCAGTCGGACGGCAAAGTTCCTCCGTTCAAGGTTTTTTGAAAGAATACTGTCAATGGGCCGGCCAGAACGGTTGCTAATTCTTTGAACAATCCTAGAGCAAGTAACATTTTAACCTAGGTTATATCCAGACACAACAACAATAAATATGGCGAATACATTGTCACAAGTACGAGGACAAATGACTTTGAAATTTTATTGATTTAAACTAATGTTTCAAGGTAATGAATGACACACCCTTAGAATCTGTTATTTGCGTCTCGGACCTGAGTACACATGCAGACTATGAACATAAGTTAGTACGTACCAGCTGAATGACGAATATCGCCAAGTCACCCACCACCCAAACACACCCCCCACCCCACAGCCCCCGGTCTTACAATCTTTTAACCTAGTGTCAGGATGACGGTTGGGGTATCAAAAATAATATACAAGAAGCAAAATGGTGTAGCGTGATAATCCTAAACGTGGTCGCAACCGGCACGAGAATACTTAGCTCTGCGGTGCGAGTCTGAGACTTTGTTGAACTTTCATTAATACTTTGTCTATTCGAATTTAACGACAGAAAAATTACATTAATTTCAATCCAATATCGTCACTCCCAGCGCAGAAACAACATAAATACAATTCCTGATTTAAATGCAGGAATTGTGTTTGGAGATATGAATGAAATTTGTTTGTCTGACTTGATATCAAATAAACTAAGCTAAAAAAATGAATAACTTGTCAGCGTGACGAAAGTCTTCATGAGGCTCGAGCACGATGCATGTGCACGGAATGATATAGATTGTATCGTGAAGGAAAACTAAGGAATAAGTTATTGTGTGATAAATAAAGCTTCCATTATTCCCGAATGGCAAAAATTGTAGAGAAACCGAAGATTTATGTATGCCTACTTACATACTTATATACTATAATTCAAATGTTGAGATAAATTCGATTTTAGAGGTAATGCCTTGAACAACAAACTGTAAATTTATATTTATTCTCTCTTTCCGATTGGATCTTGGAGTGTAAGTTTTGAATTGTTTTGCTGTATAGACATACATATTTTTTTGTAGACAACTTATTTACAAACAAGACAGCATTTGTTTGTAGATAACTTTGTCTGAATTGCGCCCGATGAAATCTAAAGAATCTTGTATTACCCCAATCATTCTTTGGTGTATCATTCAGCACATGTAATGAAGTATAATGCAAATTCTCACTACTTTCTGTAAGACCAAAATTAGGTAGGACCGGCTCTGACGTGGGCGTTGAATTGGTTACAGCTGTCAGATACGATGCCTATCCCGACTTGCATACTGGTTCCTTTCCTGTAGGATTTTGACTCGGATGCAGGGATCGTGCGTTATTCTCAGAGACCTCCATGCTCTAGCTCTCTGATCTCATGTTGCTCTCCGCGTATTTTAGCTCCCTCGGCATTCAATTTGTTAGTTCGCTTAGTACATATGTCGCATCTCTGTAAATCGTTAGTTTGATTTGTTTCGTATTAATTTGCCGTTTTTCTCTAATAAATTTAAGTAAACTTGTTAGGGTTATCTATCCGTTCAGTCCAAGCTTTTGCTAATCAAGCCAATAGGGAAGTTGCATCTAATTTCTGGTCATTGGTGGGCGTGGCAATTAGACCATCCGAACTTTTAAGGTGACGCGATTGGCTATTCGGGAATTTGAGACTAGTTCGTCACAGCACAGATAGTGAATTTTTTTAACGAGACTAGTTTTATCGTCTTCTGTGATAATAATTACTTGTATTATGCATGTTATGTACGTCTATTCATCAAAACACTATGACTCATGCTCTGGTGACAACTCATCTCGCATGAATCGTTTGGTAGAATTTATTTCGAACTGATGAATCGGCCAACTGAACGAATTATGATATTTTCCTTGTTATTAGTTGAACATTTCCCTTGTCAGTGATCACGCGGACAATTATTTAGTTAGACATGATTTTTTCTCATACCATGAGTGCCTTTTGACATTATAACTGTAATATGAGACGTTCTAGAAGACAGCGGTTCTACCAATCACCGGTCTGATGTTTTTTTTTCTGCAGGGCAATCCTCGCAGCTTACAGAGAGCCTGCGCGGAGAAATGTTCAGGCTCTTAGCTATATATCTGTCGGAGCTGAGCAGCGGACCCTTGGCTCTCGTGGTGTCGGCAGTGGGCGTCATCCTTTCGGGTATCGCCCTGTCTGCATGGCGTTTTGTGACGCTCCCTAGAGGCTGACGTCAATATGGCCTAATTTACAGCGGTTGGCATGAGTCAAGCCTGTCAAATGTGATCTTACTCGTTACATACGACATGAGTCAATAGATGTTGGCATGAATCAAGCCTGTCAACTGTGATGTTACTCGTTATCTGCGACATGAGTCAATACCTGTTGGCACGAGTCAAGCCGTTCAACTGTGATGTTACTCGTTATCTGCGACTTCATGCAGTGGCAACTGCCGGAAGCTAGTCCCAGCGCCTCGACTATACCGTTAGCGCAGTGACTTCATGTATATAATGAGCGACTTCTGTGTCGACTGTCGGATTTCAAAGGCAATTCTTGTCTTCTGCAGCAGATAGTGACTTTCGTAACATAATTTCACAATGCCAAGTTAATGAATATTTTAGCGGAACCCACGATAACTGCTGCGCGAAGTTAAGGCGGATTACCATATAAGTGTTGGAAATTTCCCACCGTTCATTATATTTCTATTCTTTAAACTGAATTTAGTTATAATTTACGTTTGGGTAATATTAAGATAAGTCTAGGGTAAGTTTAATGTTAGGGTAATTTAGGTCGGGTTTCCGGAATCAGGAGTACGCATTGATACACCACAGTAGAAAGACTTAAATTTGTGATCTCCAGCCAACCTGATGTTCGCCGCCGCTACGGCACCAACATTCAAACCCTCTAAATTTCTTCCTAAGTTCTGTGATTTATCTATTCTTGGTTTGAGTGCCCGTTTTTTTTTCGTTTTGTTAAGTTCGCTCAAATCTATGCTTAATTATCGTGTGCGACGCTTCAGACTTCAATTCAATTCATTATAAATGTAAAAACGTCAACTATTCAAATTCAAGTGGATGCGGCTCTAACTAATGCTCTATTTAAGAGTTCCCGCCAAATCCTTCAAACTTTGACCTTACTTCTAACGAATCAATCTACAACTATTCTTACTTTACTTCCGTCTGAAACGTCCATCTTCAACTGATTTCTTCTTTTTTTCCTTTAAATTCAATTCTTCCTGAAAGCGCGTTATAGCACACTGAGGCAATTAAATCTCAGGTGAATGTTATTTATTTACTTTACCTTAATTGAATTTAGTACTCTGATTTACTGCATTTATTGTTATTTATATAGTCCATTTATTAAATTTATATATTCTTTACAGTATGAAACAACCTGGTTCGTAGCTGGTGGCGATGCAGACCCTCCAAATTACCTGTTGCCGCTGTACATTGACGCGGTTTCAGCCTTATTCTGCTCTGACTGTGCATTTCCTCAGTCTCGGCTCCAAGAATACCTATCCTATCAAGATTGCAAATCCTGCTTCATTTATTCACTACTAGTCTAAAATAAAATGTTTGAACCTTTGAATTTGATCATTATCTTTAAGGCACGATTGTATGTAATTATTCATATAAGGTGATGGTATAGGTAATACTAATACATATTGCAGTGTTAGCATTACTCCAAGATACTGTAGATTTATTCTGTGTCCTTGTTTACCTACATTCACTGATAATTAAAATAATTTTGTCCCTGTTCATCGCTATTAATCTACTATTTCACTTTGCTTGATTCGCCATTCTGTCGAATGACGAAAAGACGAATTTTTAAGAGGACGAAGGATGTCTTATCGAATCCTAAGATCTAATGAGTAGATTGACAACAAATACATGTAAATATTCAAAGATTAAACGTTCTCATTAATGCTTTTTATTGCTCCGTCTGCGGAAATTCCATAATACTTCCGTGACACAAATCTATAGTCAGAAGTTGACTAACAAACTGGCAGAGAATTAGTGGGAACGCAAGGAAAGACACGTTTTTCTCCGTTGCATGGCGCGGTTTTGAGCTGATTGTTTGCATTTCGATCCACGTACGCGCATTCGCCGTCTACAGGAGGGGTTGCCCATTCACCCGCGGTAACAGGCGTGTTGCTAGGAACGTGGACCCAAGCTCCGTTGCTTTTTCGTACGTTCACCCAAAATTGCAACACAGCTGAGAGATAAAAAGTTATACTTCAATTTTCTCCCCAGCAATGCACTTTTTATCTATTAATCAAACAATTTATCAGTTCTTATCGTGCATTATAATTTCATTGATCAAATGGACATTCAGGCAAAATTTTTAATCTAATTTCAGACAAATTTCCGCCAAAACACCTTTGCCTAAAATTAGAAGACCTTGTTAATCGTCTATTCGTAGTCAATTTGATTTTTGAGAGCCAAGTCTAATTATACTATACTATTTAGTTTTTACTGCATTATTTCGATCGATCAGATAAACCAGTTTGTATTGTTTCAAATATTTGAGGAGTAGATAGTTCAAAAATAACTTCTGATCGAAAGTTCAAAGTCAAGAAAATGCAAAGAAAATTCACCTCATTTTCATCAAAAGCGTTTTGGCGACCTGCTCCAATATCAGTTTAAAATTTGTAATAAAATTAAAATCATTAAATTTGCAAATAATCGTCCGTTTGATTATAAGTGTTTCATTGAATTTTGAACTGATGATGGAACATTTTCAATGAAAATATTGTGAATTTTCAGACATTTTCCTTGCATTAAATTTATAGTTAATTTCATATTTAGGGACCGAATGACAAGAATGTTTCTGACCTGAATCCCCTTGACTGATGATATCCAGTATGTCGCTGAGCTTCGCGGGTGTGTCAACCTCGGCCAGGAGCAGTCCATGGTAAGCGCAAACGGTCACCGCATCACAGAAGTACTCTTTTCTGAAGTGGGTGCCGCACGCAGCGCCGGTGCAGATTGGCCTGACGCAAAAGTGAACGCAGGGGTTCTTGGTGTTTGTGCAGCACTGTAGCGTTTCCTCCTGAAGATTTGTTAGCACAGTCCCACCTAGGAAAAATGTTTATCAATATCAATTACCAGTATAAGAATGCAAGTTGGGTTCATAATGAGCAAAAATTCTATCATGAATTTTAGGCCAATATTGGAGACACTTCATTAAGTCAGCTATGGAAATATTCTTTTCTCCGCAATTTTTAACATGGAAGAATTTAAGCTTAAAAACTATGGCCTAGATTTCACAGATGTTAAGCTTATTTCTTACAGAAAAACGTTGACCAACACGAGAATTCATTCAATTAGCTCAAACTACTCCGTTATTTTTTCGAGAGTTCCACATTGACTGTCTGGACGTATGGTATTCAATGATATCATGCACTCTTCAAACTTCTCTGTATAGGGAAGTGATTGCAATTGAATGTTCTAACTTCGAGGCATCTAAAACAAACGATTAGAGGCATCTAAAACAGGCGATTAGGACACCGCTGCTATAATAGATTATTGCAGTCATTTTTGATAAACTACTGATTCTTTATAGTACAGATTTATATGCTACTGATTGATGCATTACTGTGCCAAGCGTTGTTTTAAGATCGTTAACATTCAGGGCTCGTGAAGTTTTTTAATGCGGGAAAAAAATTTATATTATTTTTCAAATATCATTTTCTCACCTCCGCCCACTACACTGCCTGCAGCACAGCTTGAGGTGCAATTGCCGTCGGTTGTTATCGTTTCACCGTTCAAGAACGCGCCCAGGGAGGTGAAGCACGCTGTCGTAGCTGAGATACCAGAACATACAAGCATATTAGGAACGTTGCCACAATAATATGAGGTAGTATTCTTATACAAAATATTCAAACTATTTGACAACAAGTACAAGAAAGTTTACGTTTTTTAAGTGGATATGCATTAAATAGTATTAGAACAATAATTATTTTAGAGTTGGGTAACAGTGTGATTGCTTAATCACAATGAGCCTTTCGTGAACAAAATATTGATTGTATGTAAAGCCTAGCATTCAGAAGTGTCAGTGCCACACAAATTTTCTAGATTCCAGAGACAATTTTATCAGAGTACTGGGGCTGTAGTATCAAAAATAGTTTAGATTTGGTAACTCCGTTAGCGAATCACTGATTAATTTTTTAGTCGCTACGTGTACTTTGGGTGACGTTTAATAGTACGGCCACCTATGCTTCTCACTATTGCTTAGAACGTAGACCGTCTCTCCTGCACACGAGGGCTTGCTTGGGTCGTAGACCCCCTTCGTGGCCACCTTGCAGGTGCTGCCGCTGTACTTGAACATGAGTTTGCCTGTAAATCAGGAAACAAATTAGCGTTCGTGATGCGTCATGAAAAAATAAACGCATTTCATCAGGTGTTTTCGTGAAATTCCTAATATTCTCACTGAAATTCGAATTATCGCATGATTTGAGTGGAATAATCGATGAAAAAAGGTTTCAATTGTACACAATTGCGTATTTTATAAACATACTGTGAACAAAATGAGCTTCTTAATATTTTTAAGTCAAATGATCAATTTCAAATTGAATCGATTAAATTTGACAAAAAAACTGAGATAATGCTGAGTGTGTAATATGTATGATCACCTGCGTCCAAAGTAGCCTGGGCGCAATCAATGGTAGACTTGACGCCGCTCTTGACAACCCACGTGATGTTTTGAGTGCTCGAGCTTGTCAGCTGTACGAACTCTGAGGTGCCCAGCTCGATGGAGTAAAGGCTTCCTGGCACAGAGTTCGCCTCCGCAGCGCAGGTTGAGAATAAGTTGGTTTGTAGGTTTGTTTGTAGGACAAACTGCAAGTGATAAACCGTCGATTACTTGGAGGGCAGAGTGAAAGTTATTACAGCTTCTATTACTTGACGGGGAAATGGAAGTGATAAAACCTTCAATTACGTAGAGGTAAAAGTAACTAAGTTAAATGCCATTACAGCATTGAATACCAGCTATCTACCGGCTATAACACATAAGTAATGCAGGTATTGGCCCGTATGCTAAATAGGGTACTAGCACTACGAAGTAGCACTATGCACTACGAAGTGTCCTGTTGGTATGCTAAATACGTCACAGACACTAAGCACTTCGAAGTAGCTCTACAATGTTTAGTGTCGCTTAGTGTCGCGCTACTGGTTCGTATGCAGAAAGACTTTGAAGTGCTACTTCGCTGTTAGAGTACTTTATAGTGCCGCACTACGCTATGAGTCTATTGAAGAATGGTTGTTAAGTGCTCAAATAAATAATTATTCCCTAAGTAATTCTCATTCTTTGCAGAAGATTGATGTAAAATGTCTAATTGTGATGGTAATGGTACTAGTGAAAATTGTGATGGTGAGCTGAAATTCGCAATGCGTCTGCGCACCTTTCCCATCATATATTCAAAGTCCACGCTTCCCAAAGACATCGAACAAAAGAGAGAAGCATGGGAAGTTCTTGCAGAAGAATTCAAAATGACTCCATAAAAAAATAAAAATAAAATTAAAACATGGTATCAAAAACAAGAAAAGTATTTTCTACTTCTACGCTGTTCATCTGTTTCGCCAAGGAAAATGTCAGCCATAAGAATAACATGTTGTTCACTGAAGCGGTACACTTTTTTATATTCATGGCATGTAACCAACCGTAGTGTTCCATGCCGCACTATGGCTTGTAGTGTGTAGTGCTACTTCATAGTGCTAGTGCCCTATTTAGCATGCCAACCGTAGTGTTCCATGTCGCACTAGTACGACACTACGGCTTGTAGTGCGTAGTGCTACTTCGTAGTGCTAGTGCCCTATTTAGCATACGGGCCAGTATTATAATAGATTGTTTTTGAGGTCCAAATTTATATAAAAAACGAATGAAATGCGAAATAAATAAAAAAAGACAAGACAGTTCAATTCAACATTAAAAAAAGTCCGCCTGCCATATTCTGGCATATCTATGCTCAAGAGAAAACGAACAATCCCATTTTCACTGACTAGAATTGTTCCAAAAACACGATCATTTGTGAGAATCTTGAAGTTGCTTAAATTTACCCACCGTTTCCGGAGATTCGCTAGCGCGGGGCATTCCAGCATGCATACGACGTCTGATCCTGAGCCAAAATGAAAGGTGGAATAAATTCATGAGAAAATCAGGGCTACTCTGCGAATTATTAACAATTTGAGATGTTAGAACAACACTTTTATGTGATCAAAACTGGAAGGAATAAATTAACAGTGTTGCATATGAAATTAATATGATTACGGTCATTTTGAATGTGGGCAAAAATTTTATAACGATAGTTTCAAACATCATTTTCAGAAAAAGCATTCATCACATTTTAATTAAACTTTCTTATTAATTATTTTGCGTCCGCTAAAAAGTTTTAGCCTGATATTTAAAATTTAATACATAATTAAAAAAAACAATAATACTTTATCCAAGAAAATACCATTATTCAGCAAAAGAAAAATTATACAACATTTTCAGATCATGACCCTTTAGGCAATTGGAATTGAAACAACGTAGATTAAGAGTTTATTTCTTTGGCACAACGTTATTTTAACATCAGATGTCTGGTGGGTTAGTATATATGTACAAGTATGTATTCCCCACCGTTGCTGAGGCAGACGAGGCTGCCGCCACCAGCAGCGCGAGAATTAAGGCAGACGCGTCCATCAATTGTTGTTGCTCAGGCGAGGGTCGCACTAGAACTGGCCGCACCAGCGCTCTGTGGCCACCAGAATTATGTCCCAAGTGTTCACAGCGATATTTACATGTGTATTAAACTTCAAATCAGTACAAATGTGCTGTGGCTGATGCAACCCATTTAATGAAACGTTTTTTACTTCGTGAAATTTTGAAAACTAATTTCCAGTATCTTGATTCCTGGGTTCTCAAAGCTCTTGTTAAACTTTGCTCGAAAAGAGTTTATATTACGCTGATTTTGTATAAACATTTAATTGCTGACGTGACGTGTACAAAACATAGCATCTGAACATTGGTTGTGGTAAACAAGTGTTCACCACGATACTTACACGAACATGAGAACGCAATAACATGAGCGTATACTTTTGTTCATAGCTTACCTTCTAATTAATGTATAAATTGGAACAGTCGTATAGGCAATACCTATTTGTTTGATAAATTAATTTGGGTTATATAATGAGAAATAAATTAAATGATGTCCTTCCGAGACATGTACCTCTTCGCTACAAGGCTTTGCAACAAATCGATTCGCACGGTTATTTTCGATTTGTTTCGATTCGAAAAATTTACACGGTTATTTTTTTAACCGCTGTGTCGAAAGAAAAAGGTAATGAAAATAATGCAATTACAAAACAGGTGCTAAAAAGTGTTATTTGAAAATATTTCTGTGTTAAGTGCTTTACGAGTGCATTTACAAAATTGAATGAACAATTCAATAGTTCATATCATGACGTAACCTTCAGCCATGATCATAGACATTTTATGGTTACTTTGAAAAACAAAAAAAAAATGAATTATAACATGTATGCAGATTTGTACGGACTGATCCAACGTTTAATTAACCAAATGATCAAATATTCTATGTATCACGCCACGGAATAGCAGACGCTAAATGCCAAGAAACATAAACATTGTATCATCTAGCCATACATAAGGTCACGGCACAAGAGGTTTGTGTTGTATAATTTAAAAGTAACCACCAGAAAACATTTATTTGTACACTCAAATATCAGCTTGGCTCTGCACAGCGCTGTCGACATTAATCAAAATATAATAAATGAGAGGATTAATTAATTCTGTTCATATTCGGCAAGTTTTTCCCCGTTATCTTCTTATTTAACTTCCATTGGATATTACCGATCATTGATGAGAAGACAGAAGAACAAAATAGTGCAGGAAGATAGAAAAAAATGAAGAACTTGAGGCTATTTAGCAAGAATGGTCGTGGTAAAGAATGGCAAAAAAATCATGAGTACTGGAAAAGTTTTAGTCTTTAAAAAAATCGCAATTTGACATGAATCTAAAATAATTTTTAAAAGATGAAAATAAAAAAAAAATAAAATAAATATAGCTGAATTGTAAAAATGCAGAGAATAATTAGGGAAAATGAAGGATGTGTCGTGAAGATAAAATAATATTTAACAAAATTATGTACGTTAACCACTGGAATATCCATTCGTTATTTGTAACTTCGATTTTGATAGAATTCTCCTATTCAGCTCATGAGTGAATCGAGTGGAATAGACAACATACTCATATGAACAAGTGTTCAAACACCTGCTATACCCATACAAGGCCACGAGCGTTAGCAACCGATCTGTTACATTTACAACAAAGTTTAGAAAACTTCTCTACATTCAACTCATAATTTGGACAAAATCGAAGCCAAATATTCACGAGAAATATATTCCTTCTACCTAATAAAATTTTGACCTTTACCATGAATCGAATACATTTGACCCGCTGAACTGATTTGTATAAGACTCTGAATTGCTCTGAATCTCTGAATCACTGTGACAATCACTCAGATGTCGATCTAAAATGTTATGCATGACGAGCTTCGGCCGGTCTTAGTATCTGCAGCAATTATATTAACAGTAGCTCAAGATTTATAATTCAAATTTATTTAACAGTATACATTTAATGCAATCCTGAGACTGGCCGGCCTTACAGTGGTAAGAAGAATAGAAATCAAATCAAGGTTGATTTCTTGAATTTAATTAAGGAATGATTACATGTACAATACGTCGATGCATTCTTCAATTTATTTATTTCTTGGATAGCGATTGACAGTAAATAGGTATTTTTATTGGTAATCTGCAATGCCAGGAAGAAGAATGAAGTCCGTTGATCACAAGACATTTGCCAAATAGTGAGCTGGAACGCTGATATATTCTTATATATATCACTTATGTGATATATATAAGATGTTATGTTCTTAATTAAACAAGCTATACACTTTTTCTACACTTTTGTGGTCATAATTATACTTCCATGGAAGAAGAATTAAGCTGCAAAGTAGTAAAATGATTTCTCGCTTTTCCAACGGCAATATATATCCCGTGGAAAATGCCTTGCTTCGTGTATTGATCGCAGCATGAGCCAATGGAAGTTACCTCGCTGCCGTCGAAAAAAGCGATCCAACTGTAATTTCTTTCACTAGTATGACGGTCAGTGAACATAAGTACGAACAAAATATGCAGTCAACAATAAGAAAAATCTTGAAGATAGAATTATATCTAATATCAATGAAGAATCCAGCTGACTTATAGAGCGAAAAGCACAAATATTTAGCAGATGGTAAAACTTTCGTCTTTACGAGGATTCTCCGTAAGTACATACTGTATAAAGCTCATTCAAACGTGAATAAAATAGAGAAAACGAAAAGAAAATTTTGAATTTATTGCTGTTTATTAAAATGACTGCACCGTTTATGGATCACGATTAGAAAAGTTTTTAAACTTATTATGCATTAAAATAGTGAGCTCAAAAAGAGTGCTCAAAATAGTAAAATCGACAGCAGGCAATGGATAATGTAGATAAGGACATTACGAGATGTTTTTTCAACAATATTTGAAAGTCATCTAAAGAATCACGGCATCACAAAATGGATACAGTGTAAATATTTTTAGCAGACCTTTGTTAGCTTGGTTTTAATAGTCTATTTGTATGCGCCCCTATGATTTACTTGTATATCCGACCTTTAGAGTATGAAGATAGCCTACAACATAACACTCGTTTCATACGAGCTCAGTTCGTAGCCCGCGTCAAAACTGCCCACAATATTTCGGTGCGTTGATTTATGTCTTCATATAAGTTGTTCATAGTTCTGATGATTATTTGTTATTTTTGAATATTATACGCATACGATGAAGTTTATAGGGCTGATATATTTTTTTTGTTCTTACAGATACAAGTTTTTAATCCAATAAACGGGATATTTGTTGTTGAAACCGTGGTTATCCTTGAAAACGCGGACTTACGTCAAACCAAAACCCAACAAAACGAACAGCNTTTATAGTTCATCATATGTTTATAGTTCATCATATGTTTATAGTTCATCATATGTTTATAGTTCATCATATGTTTATAGTTCATCATATGTTTATAGTTCATCATATGTTTATAGTTCATCATATGTTTATAGTTCATCATATGTTTATAGTTCATCATATGTTTATAGTTCATCATATGTTTATAGTTCATCATATGTTTATAGTTCATCATATGTTTATAGTTCATCATATGTTTATAGTTCATCATATGTTTATAGTTCATCATATGTTTATAGTTCATCATATGTTTATAGTTCATCATATGTTTATAGTTCATCATATGTTTATAGTTCATCATATGTTTATAGTTCATCATATGTTTATAGTTCATCATATGTTTATAGTTCATCATATGTTTATAGTTCATCATATGTTTATAGTTCATCATATGTTTATAGTTCATCATATGTTTATAGTTCATCATATGTTTATAGTTCATCATATGTTTATAGTTCATCATATGTTTATAGTTCATCATATGTTTATAGTTCATCATATGTTTATAGTTCATCATATGTTTATAGTTCATCATATGTTTAGTTCATATGTTATATGATAATATCTACGCAGTTCAGTCGTGGCGAGTTAAGTGGCCAACACACATAAACTTGATAATAGAACACTTGCAGAGAGTAGCTGGAGCTCGAGTATACACCAGTGTAGAATAAACTGATTCGTTGATCAACTGATGGACTGAACTAAAGGGTCCAGTTTTACTAGTATACGTTAGTTTTGTGGATCCATTACCGTGGCGATATATATATTTATTTTTATATATATGGCAATGTATTAATCAAGTGACAGAATAAATAATTTATAATATGTATACAAATTTTATATATTAAAAAAATTATAAATAAATTTTTTAATATTTAAAAATAAAACAAGAAATTTATTGTACATGTGTTACATCGGAGACACTGGCCTCTTTAGGAGCGTTGTCTTTAACAAGTAATTTTTAAACGCCTATTATTAGTCTTATTTGCTCCTACATCTTAGCACACAAGTGTTGATACCGACATAATTTATTTCTCAGCGCATCATAAACTAGCTACCCG